CATAATACGCATCATTAGAAATAGAATGAGAAAGACACCAATGAATTGCTCCGAGTGCCATGAATTCCATTATGAAATGATCTTAATGTGGTCATAGAAATGGCAAAAAGCAAAATTCACATTCTCTTGTCCTTAATACCCAACAAATCCAGTTATCCCCCCTGCACGTTTTGTAGCCCATCAAAGTGGACCAAAGGATCATTGGACGGAATGGAGGGCAGCTCTGTTACCTACGAGGCGCGAAATGAAACGAACACACTGAAATGAGGAGACCAGCAACAAGAATTTCTCTTAAGATTGCTTCACCCAAAACGTGTGATGAATCATTCGCGTTAACCATCTGAACGATCACCTGTGCATCACCACAATACACAACATTAGAAATAGAATGAGAAAGGCACCAACGAACGTCTCTGAGCACCATGAATTCCATTATGAAATGATCTGTAATGTGGTCATAGATAATGTCTCAAAACCATTTACTTTTGCCTTGCTTTACCTTAATTAACAAACTTTGCAACCAAAACCGATTTGTTAGATAATGTTTCAAACAATTGAAGTAGGGGTACACGGACCGGTCCGAGTCGATATTTAAACATACTTGTCCTGTATTGCACCCTACTAAGGTTTATACTTGGACCTTAGGAGGGAATTAATTGTGATATTCGCAGCGAGTCAAGAATGAGAAGAAATCTTTTGCTTTAGAAAATGCAAATTAATCATGCAAGATATATGTTATAAGTTTTTTTTTTGTGGGAGTTATAAGTTTTCATTTTGGCAATGATTTATTTTAGCATTTGCGTAAATTCTTCCTTACTCCTTTCATTATATAATATTAGGTGGCGATGCTGCGCCTTGTCGCGGAACGGAATTGTCCTATGGACATGTATTATATGGCCTGTTATGGTGTTTCGATAATATTATTAGCAATTAATTCTTTGTTAGTAGTTTTGTTAGTATTAGTGACTGAGAAAAGATATATGGTGGTCAACATCCAATTTTAAAAAATCTAATTTTTTGGCTAATAAATTATATTTACTTAAACTCAAGTAGACCTATTGATTATGGGTCGGGTATGGGTGGCGTATATATGGGTTTGGAAGTTTGTAGATGAGTTTGGGTAGTGTATGGATATTTACTTTCATAATCTAAATGTCTATGAGTTGGGCATGGATACCCATTTATTCGATGGTATTTTAATTACACATACAAAATTAGACCTATTTGTAGAACTTCAAAAGTTTAGGTACAGAAATATAATACACAAAAGTTTTTTGGTACTACAATGTAATGGTCCATCAATATTTTGAGGACTTATATGCCAAAAAATTAAATTTAGGTTATAAATCTAAAGATCTATAAAATTTAGGCACCGAACTGTAATTTGCATAGTCGAGGCTTAATTCCTTTTATGGTGATGTATTTAAGATGATGATTATTTATTTTTCTGTGGAAAAATGAAAACTATGTATTTGATAAGTGTAGATACCTAGACAAACATTCCATGTATAATTGTTAAAAGTTCTAGCCAGGGTGAAAAAGAAAAACTCTAGAGAGAAGCAAAAGGATTAACAAACTGGAACTCGCTTAAAATTTCATGCCTTCAAATTCCATTGTGGAAAATGACGGCTTTCTAATTAGCAATAATCTTATATATTTATTTTTAATTGGACTCAACATTGAGTTGAAAAAGTTAGTGGTTCATGGTTCAATTATTAATTCTATAGACTGTTGGTCAGTCGTGTATGGACCCGTTCATACTTGTGAGTAGAATACATAAGAATAATATACTAATTAGGATTATATGATTAAGGCAAAGAAAGAAATAAAGGAAAGGTTATGGAAGGCGAGTGAAAAATGTAATGAAGAGGAAGTAGATGATGGAAAGGTTTTGAGCAAATAGTTGGTCATCAATATAACAGTCAACTCTTCAGACCGTTGCAATTTATTGACACTTGCTTATGTAGATTTCGCATATTTTGTTACATGTAGTTAGTAGAAGTTTGTTTATACCCCGTAAATGTACTAAATGAGTTTATAAATTCACTTTTGCAATATTTTAGAGTCGTCTATCTTTTATCATTTATTTAATGTTTCACATAAATATTGTATGATACAAACATAAAAATTATAGATACAACATATATAATGGTCATATCTTTTCCTACAATTGAGTGATACGACATGTAGTATGATACAAACTAAATTTATACTTTCATTTTATGGTGGATTGAATTTATGGATTGGTTCAACAGTAATGACGTGGACTAGACCTCTTTGTACATATCTTTTGTTGCATGTTCTTTTTGAGACTTTTGCTTAATACCCATGCACATGTATAAGGGTATTTAAGCTAAGCCCTAGCTGAACTCTAACCCTAAGTGGTTGAGCGGCAGCCTTCTGTTCTTCAACCAGTAAACCTAGTGAAACTCATATTGAGAGCTATGCTCTCCGTGGACTAGTCCCGATCTTCGGGGATACCACGTAAATCATCGTGTTCTTCTTATTTCCGCATTTATCTTTTCATGGTGTCAGGGCGGAAGGTCATTACAGGTTGATCTTCCATATTCATCATGGGCACGAAGGACGAGGATAGTAGCGGCGGCAAGACAGTCGTCACGTTAGACGATGTGATCCCGATCAGCTCTCCCCTCTATTTGCATCCTTCAGAGAATCCCGCACAACTCTTTGGTGGTGATTTGCTTAATGATTCTAACTATGGTGAATGGGTAAATGACATCACAGAAATCCTAATCGCCAAAAATAAATTGGCCTTTGTGGATGGTTCTCTTCCCCGCACCAAGGCCGACTCAGCTATTCGGCAGGATGCCTGGGATAGGTGCGATGCCACCGTGAAGGGATGGCTGAAAACAGCCATGACGAAGGAAGTCCGCAACAATGTGCGGACGGCTGGTACGGCAAGGGTTATCTGGGCAGATTTGCAACGCAGGTTTAGCCGAGGCTCGGCGCAACGAGCATACGAGCTGCGGCGCAGTTTAAGCGGCTTTCGTCAGGAGAAGCTCACCGTCTCGGCTTTCTATACTAAACTCTGTTCGACATGGGATGAGATGCAGGCGATAGGGGGAGTGCCTCGTTGCACTTGTGCCGGCTGTACGTGTGGTGGCTGCTCATGCGATTGGATTCAGGAGTATCAAAGGAAGCAAGACACTAAGCGGTTGTTCGAGTTCCTCATGGGGCTTGATGACGTGTACTCTGTCGTCCATTCTCAAATTCTTGGTACCAAACCCACACCGACGTTGGAGGACGCTTATCAAATGGTAGCTGCCGAGGAGCAACACCGAAATATTGCCAGCTCACGTTGCCCTTCGGTTGATACAGCAGCCTTCCAAATTCTTGCCGAGCGAGAGCCTCAAGTGGACAATGATAAGCCCCGTTGTTCTCACTGCAATCGCCAAGGGCATACACGTGATACATGCTACAAGCTGATAGGTTACCCTTCAGGACACCCCCGAGCAAAGGCCAGCAATGAACGAGCTTCTCGCGACGATCGTGCCGCTTCCCGCCGACCCAAAGCTGCACATGTGGAACCTGATGCAGATTCTCCCATTCCAGGCCTGTCCGCGGCTCAATTTGCACAGCTTAAGGAGTTCTTATCTTCGAGTTCGGCAGAGTCTTCATCGGCACCTACTGCACACATGGCTGGTAATCATACTGAACTTGACATGTGGTTGATTGACTCGGGTTGCAACGAGCACATTGTTCGTGATGTTGGTTGGTTAGATACAGTTGATTCAATTCATGGGCAGTCTCAAGTTCGCATACCGGACAGTTCTAGTATCCCGGTTATGGGCATTGGGTCGGTTATGTTTGGTGAAACCATTCGGCTTGACAGGGTTTTACACGTTCCTGCTTTCAAGTGAAACCTGTTATCGGTTAGTCGGTTAGCACAGGATCACAACGTGGTGGTAACATTTTTGCATTATTTCTGCATGCTTCAGGTCTTACCTTCCAAGACGCTGATTGGAGTGGGACGACTTAAGGATGGACTTTACTATCTTCCTCGGAATGGTGTGAGTGTGCGGGGTCAAGCGAACAAGGCAACTCGACCTGTGGAGTCGGCGGACCTATGGCATACACGCCTCGGCCACCCTTCTTTAGATAAACTTTCTGGTTTAAAGGATTATTTGGGTTGTACTGTTTCTTCTCCGGATTATAAGCCCTGTGATTCTTGTTTACGGGCTAAGCAGACTCGACTTCCGTTCCCTTTGAGCACCATAAAAACCAGTGGCAGTTTTGAATTACTTCATATGGATATTTGGGGCGCATATAGTACGCCGACTTTTGATGGTTCACGTTATTTTCTCACTATAGTCGATGATTATAGTCGAACTACTTGGGTTTATTTAATGAAGTACAAATCTGATGTAGAGCGCTCTCTCAAACTACATTGTGAGTTAGCACGCACCCAGTTTGGCCGCCCCGTCCTTAGAATTCAAGCTGATAATGGACCAGAGTTCCAAACTCTGTCTCTTCGGGCATACTACGAAGAGAATGGTATGGTTCTTCTGACATCCTGTACGGATACACCGCAACAGAAAGGGGTCGCTGAACGCAAACACCGGCATCTCTTAGATACAGCCCGTGCTCTCATGTTTCATGCAGGCTTACCGGTCAGGTTTTGGGGTGATTGTGTGCTCACCGCCACCTACTTGATAAACTGGTTACCTTCTTCTGTGCTCTCCGGGAAGACGCCTTTCGAGGTCCTTTTGGGCAAACAGCCGTCTTATTCGCATATGCGCTCTTTTGGATGTCTAGTTTATGCTAAGGATACTCACCAAGGACTCGACAAGTTTGCGGAAAGGGGGAGAGCAGGTGTTTTTCTCGGCTATCCAGGTACTCAGCGAGGTTATCGAATTTATGATCTTCGCAGTGGTAAGATCCTTGTTTCCAGAGACGTACAGTTCGTTGAGCATGTTTTTCCTTATAAACTCAAACGAACGAGTACTACCTCACCCTTACCTGCCGAGCCTCGTCCGGCCATGCCCGTACCCATGCATGAGGATCACCCTATGCACGTACCCATGCATGAGGAGCAATCTCCCATTGAGCTTGACCACATGGCTTCTGATGAGGAGCCTTTTGATAATGTGGGAGCTCCTGATGACACTCCTCACTCGCATACTTCCTCCAGATATGAGGATTCCCCATCTTCCACTTCACATGTCCAGGATACGAATGATGTGCACCCCTTGACAGAAGAAAATGTAACGAGCTCCTCCTCCCATGAGCTGGATGTACCGCACGTGCCTCGTCGTAATCCGCCCTGAGATCGACGTCCTCCTGGCTCGCTTAATATATATGAGGTAGATTTCCCCAACACTAGCTCGCATCAAGATCAGTTTCCGATTTCTAATCACGTTGATTATCATCGGTTTTCCCCTACTCATACTGCTTTTCTTGCTGCCGTGGATTACTTGTTTGAACCGCGCACTTATGCTCAAGCGGTTAAGTACGAGCACTGGCGGGAGGCGATGCGAAAGGAGATTGAGGCATTACAGGCACAGGGGACGTGGACCTTAGAGATGCTGCCACCGGGAAAGAGAGCTATCGACTACAAATGGGTTTACAAAATTAAATTCAAGCCGGATGGGACGGTTGATCGTTATAAAGCACGACTCGTTGCAAAAGGGTTTACTCAGATTGAGGGCATAGATTTTCATGATACCTTTGCCCCGGTTGCAAAGTTGGTCACTGTTCGTGTTCTATTAGCCGTTGCAGCCAAGCAGGCATGGCCATTGCATCAGCTCGATGTAAACAATGCCTTTCTGCATGGTGACTTGGATGAGTAGGTGTACATGAGGGTGCCTCAAGGGTTTGCTCAGGCTGGTGATCATCGTGTTTGTCGGCTCCGGAAGTCATTATAAGGTCTCCGTCAAGCTTCTAGGAACTGGTACACCAAATTCACCGATGCACTGTTGGACTTTGGTTTTACAGTTTCCCGGACGGACCATTCTCTTTTCCTCTATCAGGCGGCAGGGGTGTTTGTTGCTGTGCTTATTTATGTTGATGACGTGGTTCTAACTGGAAATGATCCCGATACTATTGCTCGGGTTAAGCAGTTTCTCCACCAGCATTTTAGCATCAAAGATCTCGGACCTCTGAAGTATTTTCTCGGCATTGAAGTGGCTCGCTCACCAGCAGGTATTGTGCTTAGTCAGCGGAAATACAGTCTTGATATTCTGGCTGATTCGCGTGTCTCGGCTGCACGGCCCAGTGGCTTTCCGATGGAGCAGCAACATGATCTCACTCGTCCTACTGACGAACGATATGAAGATGTTGGTGCTTATCGCCGTCTCATTGGCCGTCTTCTCTACCTGACGATTACCTGCCCCGACATTGCCTACTCAGTGAATCTGCTTAGCTAGTTCGTGCATTCTCCTAGTCCTGCCCACATGGCGGCCGCCCACCGTATCCTACGGTACCTGAAAGCTGCTCCTGGACAGGATTTGTTCTTGCCGTCTGATGGCTCCCTCGAGCTCGTTGCATACAGTGATGCCGACTGGGCTGGATGTCAGTTCAGCCGTCGTTCTACTACTGGTTACTATATCCAGTTTGGCGGTGTCCCCATTTCATGGCGTGCCAAGAAACAACGAGTACAGAGCCATGGCGAGCACCACCAGTGAAATTCTTTGGCTTCGTTCACTTCTTCAAGAGTTACAGCTTCCACAATCGGGCCCCACTCTCCTCTACTGCGACAACCAGGACGCCCTACATATTGCGGCTAATCTGGTTTTTCATGAGCGCACCAAACATGTTGAGATGGATTGCTACTTTGTTTGTGAGCGACTTGGTTCCGGTGAGATTCTTCCAACGAAAGTTAGCACTCATCATCAGCTGGCTGATATTTTCACCAAGGCATTGGGCACCGAGCACTTTCATGCCTTACTTTCCAAGCTGGGCATTTGTGACCTTCATGCTCCAGCTTGAGGGGGAGTAATGACGTGGACTGGACCTCTTTGTACATATCTTTTGTTGCATGTTCTTTTTTAGACTTTTGCTTAATACCCACGCACATGTAGAAGGGTATTTAAGCTAAGCCCTAGCCGAACTCTAACCCTAAGTGGTTGAGCGGCAGACTTCTGTTCTTCAACCAGTAAACATAGTGAAACTCATACTAAGAGCTATGCTCTCCGTGGACTAGTCCCGATCTTCGGGGATACCACGTAAATCATTGTGTTCTTCTTATTTCAAACAGGATTGTGGATCCGGATCATGAATTAAAGTGAAATCTAAAAATTGGACCAATATGTAAATTTAAAAAATTTAGATACAAATATCTCAAAAAATTTTGATACCAAAACATAATTGTTTTATAATTTTACACTAAAATTAAATTTGGGGTATCAAAATATAAAATTTACATTCTAGTGACTGAGTTGTGATTTAATTAAATTTGAGGTATCAAAATAGTATTTTTTTTAAGGCAACAATAATTAAGTTTCAGCACTTAGATACCAAAACATAATTGTTCAATGAATTTACATTAAAACTCAATTTTGGGTATCAAAATAAAAAATGTACATTATAGTGACTAAGTTATGATTTAATTAAATTTGGGTATCAAATTATAATTATTTAAGTAACAGTAACTCATCTTCAACTTTTGAGGTATCAAAATAGTATTTTTTTAAGGCAACAATAATTAAACTTCAGCATTTAGATACCAAAATATAATTGTTCAATGATTTTTACATTAAAACTAAATTTGCGGTATCAAAATATAAAATGTACATTATAGTGATTATGTTGTGATTTAATTAAATTTGGGTATCAAATTATAATTATTTAGGTAACAGTAACTCATCTTCGATTTTATATTTTGGGTATCAAATTATAATTATTTTGGTAATAGTAACTCATCTTCAACTTTTGAGGTATCAAAATAGTATTTTTGTAAGGCAACAATTATTAAGTTTCAGCATTTAGATACCAAAACATAATTATTCAATTAATTTTACATTAAAACTAAATTTGGGGTATGAAAATATAAAATGTACATTATAGCGACTAAGTTGTGATTTAATTAAATTGGGTATCAAATTATAATTATTTAGGTAATAGTAACTCATCTTCAACTTTATATATATTAAAACTAAATTTGGGGTATCAAAATATAAAATAAACATTATAGTGACTAAGTTGTGATTTAATTAAATTTGGGTATCAAATTATAATTATTTAGGTAACAGTAACTCATCTTCAACTTTATATATATTAATTATTAATAATTATTGTGGATGGTAAAGAAAAATTTGTTGTACTAGTGTGGCTATAATAGATTTTGTGGGTAAGTCGTTGTGGTTAGCGATTACCCACTAACCACAAAAGTCATAATTTTGCTAACCACACCCAATTCAACACCCACAATGTGTGCTATTTGGTGCGGTTTGTTGTTTATCCGCAAACCAAACTTCCACTCTACTGAAAACGCCAATAAAAATTACGCAAAATTCACTAGCATAGCCATAATTATTGACTTTGTGACAAACATGTTTCTAAAATCTTGACATTATGTGTATTTCTTATAAATTGGCTATTATTGTCACAAAGTCAATACTTATGGCTATGCAAGTGAATTTAGTTAATTTTAGCTGGCAATGTTTTTATTAAGTGGCATCAAGTCATCAAAATGTTAGTCCAATCCGTGTCTAAAATAATTTGTTAAACTTTTGGACGAAATTAGACATTTTGTGTATTTCTAAAAAAATGTCTATTATTATTATCATCAAAAGTCGATAGTTATGGCTATACAAGTTTATTTGCCTAAAAATTATAAAAACAACGAGAAGGAAAATCAAGTGTAACAATTATTATCATTGATGTCACATCGGTGACATGCCGGCCGGTTGAACCTGGTATGATCGGCATGATCGATTTATGCCTGCTAAGCAAAATGACGTCATTTTAGTGAACTTGATAAATAAAAATTAGTTTATCATTTATTTTATGTTTAAAATTTAATTATTGATGTTATTTTTTGGTATCAAGCATAAATTTTAGGTATTGATGTTAAATGTTGTACTTAAATATGAGTATTTGTTATTTTATTTGGAATATTGCATTTTATTTAAATATGAATATGAATTTGTAAGTTTACTGTATTCAAATATGATTTATATATAATTAAATTTATTTTTTATATTATTTTTCACATTTCTATATATATATATATTATAAAACCGACATGCCTTCATTATTACTGAATTACCCAAGGAACCGAAAAGTTAAAAGGCGCAAAGAGGAAATCCTCCGAGCTTGCACAATTTTAAAATAGAGGAATTGGCGTTGGGCGTAGCCTTCTATCTACCAAAGCTAGACGAAGAAGTAGACGAAGGAAATGAACCTCACCTGAGCACTCTATACTCACTAGATCACTAGATATGACAATTTTGACCCTCATTTACCTAAATTACATATAATTTTATTCAAATTAATTACAATTTTATTCAAATTAATTACAATTTTATTCAAATTACTTATAATTTTACTTTTATTTCCTCATATTTTAGCTATAATAAATTTATTAATAGGTGATAATTTTTGAATAATTTAACTACATTTATCATATTTTGATTTTTTTCTTAGATTTTTAATGAAAAAAAGTTGAATATTTCTAATTTTTTCTTTTCAAACTACATACCATTGGGTGATCTGCCTTGATCCGCACTATATAATGAATTACTCAATCTGAACCCACCTTGCTACGTTGTAGATATGAATATCGTGAAACCCGTCCCCAATTTGTTCATTTTCATTTCTAATACTCACCCGCTCTAATAGGTGAGTTATTTTCATATTTATGGGACCAAATTTGGAAAAGAGTCTAATACAGTGGCTCTCACTGTTTTGTACCTTCTTCCAATGCAAACAATAAATAAGGGGTCGTTTGGAAGTTGCGATTGTTAAATAGATGTATTGTTGAGAATGCATGTATAATATTATACATGTATTGTCGAATTTGATGCATTGTAGAATACAACGTTTGGTATGTGTGATTGTGTATGTCGCATCAGCTAAAAGCCGAGACAAAACAATCTCAACTCAACTATCTCAACAATCACAACTAAAAATTGAGATATAACAATCACTCAAAATGAGTGATAGTTTCTGTCAAATCACAAAAATAATCCATGTATTGTTTCTGCTAAAAAAAAAACGATGCATTGTAAACAATACATGCATAATAACAATCTCAACAAAACTATCGCAACTTCCAAACGACCTCTAAGATTTGAATCCCAAATACAAGAATTACTGTCCATCGATTGATGATGATTCGTTGTCAAAACAAAAACGATAAAAAAATGATGATGATTCTCTCATCTCGAGAAGGATAAAGAAAAATGAAACTATTATGGAGGGAAATGAAAACGCAATACAGGTGCAGTAATGATTACTGAAGCACCGAGGGAACCGAAATGTAAAAAGGTGGAAAAAGGAAAATCCACCGAGCTTGCACAATTTAAAAAGCGCGGACTTTCTACCAAAAAAAAAATTCTACCAAAAAAAAAAAAAGCGCGGACTTGGCGTTGGGCGTGGCCTTCTCTCAATCCAAAGCCAGGCGAAGAAGAAGAAGAAGTAGACGAAGGAAAGGAAGCTCCGGAAGAATTTTCACCAGCAACTGAAAATTAAGAAACAAAAATGCCGTTCTGGCAGGCGGCTGGAAATGCGACCTCATCATCCTCGTCTTCCTCTTCCTCTGCCACGAACTCGTCTTCCACATCTTCCAGCTCCATGAACAGCACCGCCCACCACAACAGAGCCGGCGGCGATCCGAATCAAAACCACGGCGAGCTTCCCGGAGGAGAGAGATCACCACCGACGGTCTCTGCTGCTACTGCCGTTTCGCTCGTCGCCAAGTCGTTGCTGCCTACCCGAAGGAGGCTCAAGCTTGATCCTGCCTCCAAGCTCTACTTCCCTTGTAAGCCCTGTCTTCTCCCTCTCTCTTCCCCATTAATGGGCCCTCTTCCCTTTTTTCCATATGTCTGTAGGGTCATTGGTTTTCAATATGATTTTATCCACCATTTGCTTAGTGTTGAATGGTTTGAGTGTTTCTGTTTTCCTGGGCTTGCCTCACAGAATTGTGCTGCTCTGTTGTTACAGTTAAAAGCATTGTGAGGGTCGATTTTGATGTGTTACTTAAGAAACTCTGCTTGGCATTTTATCGAACATGTAGACTTCATTCAACGAGATGCCATTATATGATTCTGCTGCATGCTGTTAAGGGATTCGAGTTCTATTTCACCAGGGTGGTCTGTTTAAGCGACTTTTGATGATATCATCATACAAGCTTTTCTGTTCCCAATTTAGCTTTTTATCATATCTCCGGTCTCCGGAGGTCAATTACGCCCTGAACCCATGTTTACTGTTGCAGCTGATTGCTTGTTAGAGTGATTTCCCTTTCCTGATTTCTGATATGTTTAAAAATTGTGGCTTTGAAGATGAACCGGGGAAGCAGGCAAAGAGTGCAATTGGCATTAAAAACATTTGCAAGTCCCATATTGCTTTCAAGGTATGGATCAAATGTATACTCTTTGTTATTGTCTATGTGCAGAATCATTCTACTCCTTTTCTACTGTGGTTAAGAAAGAATCCCAATCTCTAAGTTAATAGCTCTGCTTCTACATTTCTAGTTTGCAACCTTGATAATTGATGGGACAACAGCCATATATGAGACTGTATGACTTATGGCCTAGTAGGACCTTCAATGATTTTCTACAATGCTGCACCAGCTCAGCTGTTAATAAAATATATGAACCCTTTAGGGTCATTTGCCTTCATATTCTCTCTAGTTGTCAAACAAACAAGATCGGCTTAATAGCTAATATAATTTGTACAGTTGGAGTATTAGAACATGTGTATGTGGATTGTGGAATGAGTTAGGGATAAGTTAAATAGTCATTTTGATGGTCTAATAGTCGGTCCATGTATTCTCACATTGCTATTTGCCTACTATTAAGGAAGAAGGAAAGTTAATTGTGGCAGTTGGGGTGTTTGTTTTGCAGTTCCAGACAACTGCACCTAAGAGCTGTTACATGCGTCCTCCAGGAGCGATTCTTGCCCCTGGTGAGAGCCTTATTGCAACCGGTAAGAATCTAGTTGTACCCATGGCTGCTTGAATTATACAGTGGTTGATTTTCCGTCGCAGACTGCTGAATCATGAAAAACTGGACAGTGTTCAAGTTTGTGGAGCCTCCAGAGAACAATATTGAGAGGCAACTCGATTTGAAAAACAAGGTCAAGTTCAAGATCATGAGCCTGAAGGTTAAAGGAGAGATGGAATATGTACCAGAGTTGGTACGCAACATTTGTCAATCTATGTTTTGCAGTTTCTCTTCATCCATGGACGTTAAGACTAAAATTATCTGTTCAATTACCGTTACGAAGTTTGATGACATGAAAAATCAAGCAGCGGTGGAGCAAATATTGCGGGTTGTTTTTCTTGACCCTGAAAGTACAAACCCTGTAAGTAATCCCAAAATGAAAAGATCAACTTGCTCTCTCAACATAGAAAGTATGCAAGTTTCTTAATCTGAAGACATTGATACTTTATTGGTTTACAAATCTAAGGCACTACAAAAGCTCAAGAGACAACTTGCTGAAGCTGAAGCTGAGCTCGAGAACCGGAAGAAGCCTGCAGAGGAACCGGCCCCTCGGCCTACTGGTGAAGGACTCGTCATAGATGAATGGGTAATTTCGATATGCTTGGTCTCCTTACTCTGCTGATATAAGTTTTAACTTTTCACTGTGGCATACACAGTTAGTAATGTTCCATTTCTGTGGTCTTTGCGCAGAAAGAGAGGAGGGAGAGATACCTAGCCCAGCAACAGGTTGAAGTTGGTCCAGTGTTGAAGTAACTGTTTCTTCTCATTCTTTTGTTATTGTTGAGGGAATCAAATAGGGAATCATGTTGACAGAAGTGAGCCGTGAGGTGTGAAGTAGCATTAAGGTGTTATCATATTGCTTTTGCTTAATGATGCGGCAACAGAATCTGATTTTGATCAGTTCAATGTTTGTCAATTATGAGTACATGTTAATAATTGTGAACCCTAGCACTATTAAATAATCAATCAGTGGTTATCCTAATCGAATGAGATGGTTGGCTTAGGTGGAGATATGTGCAGAAATATGCTGGCATCCATCACTTTCACAAACCATGATCAAAGCATGAATATAATAATCCACACTGAAAGGGAATCCGGAAACAGGATGTTGAATTGTTGATAAGCTATAATTCATTACTGTTTCTGCACATCGATTATAAATTAGGGATTTCCTATGGTAACTTGAAGTAAGGTAACTTGAGTTTTCTTACCTGCTATAGCAGGTTTCACAGGTCGCATTACGTAAAATATAACAGGCATTACGTAATGGTTACGTAACCTATGGTAGTCTTACGTAACAGTTGTAAAAGATCATTACGGAAGCCTTACGTAATAGAATGTGTCTTTACGTAATGAGTATTAACCTCGCGTTACGTAAAACGCTAAGTCATTACGAAAGCCTTACTTAACGCTACTAATTTAACTGTTACGTAAGAAATAAATGTGGTTCCGTAACCTTTACGTAATGGAATATCTTTTTACGTAATGAGTATTAACCTCGCGTTACGTAAAGTGCAAAGTCATTACGGAAGCCTTACATAACGCTTCTGATTTAACTGTTACGTAAGAAATAACTATCGTTCCTTAACCTTTACGTAATGAATGTGTATTTTACGTAACAGTTGTAAAATGTCATTACGGAAGCCTTACGTAATGTAATGTATTTTTACGTAATGAGTATTAACGTCGTGTTACGTAAAGAGCTAAGCTATTACGGAAGGCTTACGTAACGCTTCTAATTCAATAAGAATTAAAATAAGGAAAGAATAAAATAAGAAAAATCAACTAAATATGAAAAAGGAAAGAGAATATATAAGAAAGGTAAATTGTGAAGGTGGTGACCGCCAACCTGTTGCTATTAATTTTTTTACTTATTTTTTTATTTTTTATTTCTTTAATCAATGGTTTAAAATTAGTTTGATCGATTTTAACGATTTATACCTATACAAGTTACCTAACTTGAAATTATACCCAAGTTACTGTAGGAGGTCCCTGTAAATTATTACTTCCCTATCCCTTTTACGAAAATTCAAAATTGAGTCCCTATTGTTAGTGTTGTGGTACATGATCCACAATTGAACGTCTTCCAACAGCTCGAGTTATTGGGAACAACTGGTTCTTGGCATGGTATCAGAGCCTTCTGTGACCGAGAGGTCTGGTGTTCGATTCCTGGTGACCCTCATTTGTTAAGCACATGGTATTCTTGTCTTCGGACCTATGCAAACTTCAAGCCCTTGTGAGTGGTTTTCGTTTGAGGGGGCATGTTAGTGTTGTGGTATATGATCCACGATTGAACGTCTTCCAACAACTCGAGTTATTGAGAACAACTGATAAACGAAAAAAAAGAAAAAGAGGAAGAATATAACTGGAACAGGATATGGAGATTATGTGGTTTGATTATGCTGTTGATGGCCCCTACTGTCATTGCATACTGGGAGGGAAAATTTCCTTTTTGATTTTTGAGTGAGAAATTTTTTTTAACTTTGTAAAGAAATCGCTCTTAATTTAGTTTCACACTTCATGAGACCAATATTGATATATTTCAAATATATAATTTTTTTACGTACAATATGGATACTCACACAACATAGATGTGCATTCACCACACGTATTTACTCAAAGAGAATATATATTCGATGTAGAGCATATATATTCGAGTTTAGCCTATCCGCTTTGGGATAAGGAGGTTTGTATAATCAAAGTTCAAAGAAGGACATCCTGGTGTGGGTCCTAGTTTACTCAAAGAGAAGTGTTGGCCTAGGAAGCAGCGTCCAAGTTACCGTGCCGACCCTTGGGGTGACTAGTGACTACCACCTATCCGCCGCCCATTAAAGCCTTAGAGCATCATGCGGTCCAAAATTTACAGGGTACTTTTGAATGGGGCATGTATAGAAAAGGAAAGCATTGGGGACAACCACACTTGTTGCAACACAAATAACATACAAGATTATGATATCATGCAAACAAATGCAATTGTTTTGGTCCACATAATACATTGTCTGTTCTTAAAGAATCTTATTCTTTTCTAGTAACCAAAGTTGATTCAATTCAGAATGAAAGTACATACTTTTTCTGGCGTAGCAGTACCTCAAATCCTGGAAACCAACGAACGTAATGAATCGGGGACAACCACACTTACTCGATTTGTCTTTTGGAAAGAATGCAGAAAAAATCAATTTTTGATTTTGGCAGAGTTTCAGTAAGAAAAACCATTTTAAAAAATCTTCTCCCTTAAACCAGAGGGGTTGGTGCTATTTATAGAAAATGAGTGGGTGCGTGCGAGGGGAGACAAATCTTCTGGTGGTGGTTTAGTCTTAACTATTGCATTGGTTCGTTAAAAAACCATTGCATCGAATCATCCCATTGTATTTAAACGAGTTGGTTCATTTCAATCACCACTTCGGACCTGTTCAACTCGAGTCCAGTTGGTTGCACAAACCAATTTTATTGATCAACAAAAGATTTAATCAAATTAACCCACCGAATCTTAGATCTCCTTCCCACATCTCACCAACGTGGCATGTCAAAGAGTTTTCTTTGACTCTTTCCCCTTTTATTCTCATTCACACCATTCAAAATCCAAAATCTTACATATGAATGAAAAATGCTGAGTTTTAAATATTGTGCAACAAAATTAAGTGATTAGAGGCATTGGGATAGGTGTGCTTCCTTTGAACTTTCTCTGGTGAACATATATCAAGCATACACATCAATCAGTTGATATGATATCTTTGAACCGTCAACTTTGCTTGTATTCTAAGTCGATATATGTCTGAAAACCAACTCTTATTCGTTCACTGATTCTCACTGTTGTGCCTCCTGGTCTCATGACTGCTTAGAGAACTGGTCTTCTTATATTCTCCTTGAAGCAACTGTACTACACACTCGCACATGTGATTTTTGAATGTGTATTCCGAAAACATACTATTTGATCACACTGCTTGTCAAACTTAGAAACCAAGAAATACCTTTCATATTTAGGTTTAACTTATTATTGAACATTGTCTCATCATGAGAATGGATTTTAGATAATTTGACAATATCGTACCATCAAACACAATTTTGTATTCATCTTGAACCTAGAGGTTGCCAATTCTACTTAAGTAGAGTTACCGCCATGATTATTTGTTCTAGGCCACAAATCTATTCCCTTCGATTCTTTAATTAATCTTTAGATGGTACTCACGTTTGTTATCATTTGATCTAAGATGATCAACACATATAACTTTGCTAGAAATTAATCAATTAATAGTGTTATGTTTTCATTATCTAAGGCAAGATTTATTATATAACACTTATTTTCCTCGCAATAACAATTTTGTACCTTCACACAGTGTGTTTATCGATGCCAGATTTTTCGGGCCAGACTATTGAACTTCACAGGTTTTAGAGCCAGTGAGTGTATAGGTTAACTTGTATGTTTTCAAAGATATTGCTCCCCGTTAACCAAAATGTATATCCATTAATGGATTATGTCTTTTGGTTCATCCGGGGAGTTCCTTTGGGTATAATACACCAAAGACTCGTCTCTTTGGATAACATACATCTTAACACATGATCATAACGTTGTTGTCTCTCCACTTCATTGACCTTAGACTACTTGTACTTTAAAAGTATCTCTTTCAATATAGTGAGACATGTTATTTGTCACAGGGTTTAGGTTAAAACCTTTAAGTTTCCACATCACTTCACATTGACAACGTCCTTTGCCAGTAATATTTATCCTTATTATTAAAGCCATATGCTATGTATGTCTATAGAGACTTAACCAACTTACACAATTCGGTCTTTCTTTAGACTTACTCAAAATGACCATGAAAAGTCGTCGATTTGGGTATAAAAGTGGAATTGAGCTAAAAGAGAAGGAAAAGAACCTAGTGAGAGAACTTCTTCTTCCTCAGATTTATAGAGAGAGAGTGACGAACAAGAGAGGAGAAGAAGGTTAGGGTTTCATCCAAGCTCCAAGATTTGGGAATCTCATCCTCCAATGTTGATCTTGACACCAAAGGAAGAAGGCAAACATCTCAAGATGGTCTTTTCCCTTCTCCTTTGTGTATTCCCTAGTCTTAGAATGGAGTAGTTTCCTTCTTTCACTCGGTGTTTGTGAACCCTAGCTAGGATCATGTGATTGTTTGTATGAATTTAATGATTTGTGTGCCGTTGTGTTTTAATGCAAGTATTGATGTATTTTCATGAAGGTTGTGTTGTGTTTTCCATTTCCAACTCTTATGCCAATTTGACCTAGTTAGAGGGAAACACCATTCTTGCTAAGAGGCTTTCAAAAGCTGGAATTCCTTGGCCAAATTAAACCACCTACTTAGGCTGAATTAGGGAAAACCTCATACCATGTTTTAGCACTTTGGGTATGTTGTATTTTGGCCGTTCAGACTATGATTCGAGGGAGAAGCCTAGGAAACCCTTAATCAACTGGCCAAGAGAGCTACTTTGGTTGCTTGATTTGATATCCCTTGGCCTAACGACCGAGAGAGTGAAGCTTCTTCACTTGTTGCGCTTCCCTACGGTTGACAACCACTTTTACCTCACACTTGCATTCGGTTCAACTAATCTTGGTACCTAGCTAGGGAGAGCAACACTTGGGTGAAGCCTTCTCAATTAGTGTTCAAAATCATTTACCTTTCCAATTGCTTTTAATCATAGTCCATAGTTTTAACTAAAAATCGCTTGCTAGATAATGTTTCAAACATTTGAAGTAGGGGTACGTGGACCGACCCGTGTTTGACATATAAATACTTGCTCTATACTGCACCCGACTAGAGTTTATACTTGGACTCTAGCCGGGATTTAAATCATGGTATTCTGAGAGAGTCAAACACAAGTAACATACAAGATCATGAAATCATGCAATCGTCCTAGCCGACATAATACAATGTCCATCCTTTCTGAATCTTATTGTCCTCTGGTACCCAAGGTTTCTAGATGATTCTTACCATGATAGAAAGAACGTACCTATTTGGACATAGCGGTACCTCAAACCCTGGAAACCATCAAACACAATGAATCGGCAAGAAGCACTATGACTAGATTTTTCTTTCAGAAAAATGAAGGAAAAATCAATTTTTATTTTGGCAGACTTTTGCTAAGAAAAATATGTTGCAATAGGGGTCTCATTGAGTGTCATGGATATTGCATATAGGCTTCAAAGGTAGGGATTTCAGGCTAATAAGAAATACTACTTTATTTTTTTAAAAAAGGTGAAGTACCTAACCTTTCATTGTGCACAATAGTCTTATATCTTGGAATCAAGT